CTCCAAGTGCGGGAAGTTTGAGGGTGCCAGAGGCTGAGGGCCAGCCGTGGCTACAAAAGATAACCCTGGATCTTACTGTTATTAAAAAGCTTTGGATGTTGGGGGATGGGGAGGGAAGAATGAAAATAATTCCAAGATAGCTGGAGAGATGGCTCATTGGTTAAGAGCACTTGTTGCTCTTGCAGAGACCCAGGTTTAATTGGGTTTGAGTCCTAGCACCCACATAATGGTTCACAACCATCCATAACTCCAGTTCCAGGGGATCCAATGACATCTTCTGCCCTCTCCAGGCACCAAGCACACAGGGGGTTCATTTACATACAGTCAAAACACTCACACATAAAATAAAATGCATAAGTCCAATTTCTAAATTAATAATAATAATAAAACCCCCAGATGTCCTTGTTATAGGCTAAAGGACGCAGGGAAGGAGATGAAGGAGGTGGTCAGACTCACACTCTTGGGCTAAACAGAGAAAAGAAAACTGTTCCCTGTAAGGCAGATATCTGCCATCATGAGAACACCACACTCTGCTAGCAAAGACCAACCAACCAAGAAGCAGCAGCACTTGGCTTTACACCATCCCATTCACACTTTATCCTATCCCAAGACTTTGGTTTACACCATCCCATCTACACTTTATCCTATCCCAAGGCTTTGTCCAGTGTCTTGACTCTCTTAACGACAGACAATGGAGACTCACTGTAAGCTGTTTATGTGCTCACCTTTTCCTGATGAAATGTGGACATGCGAACACTTTTCTACGCCGTTGGTGGTTCCAGAACAGCGGCAGGACCATTCCCCCCACCTAGCATTTGTTATGGCTGAGCAAATATGGGTTGTTGTTTTTTAAATTATATCACCTGGTCTCTAAAACTTTGATTTGACATATTTGGTGGCAATGTTGTAATCTGTCCTAGGCAAGAGGCCCCACCCTGCTCTGGGAGTTCCAACATAGGACCTGGCCTTCGAAGTAGGGAAAAGGGGCCTTTCCCTCAGCAGCAATCCTTGCTCCTCGACACAGGACTGTTTGAGACAGCTAGAACCAAGAAGACAGCCTCCCCTTCCACCCTCCTAAGGCCCTGAAACCAAGTTTCAAGATGTTGAGGCTGTCACGGTGAGAAATTATTGGGTAATCTGTTCCAATTTCCGGTTCCTGGATCCATCCATCAGGGACGCACCAGGACTTCCAGGACAAACTGTCCAATTTGGAGGTGGTTGGTCGAGAGAGTTCTTTCAAGTCTGATATCATCATTTTCCATGTTTGACAATTTTTTTTCTTTTCAATGTAGAGTACTGGTTGTTTGTCTAAAATACTTTGAGCTCATGGTGACATCGTGTGGTTGTTTATGTAACTGCAAGTTGGGTCTTGGCGACTCCCAGTTTGATCAATGGCATTAGCTATGCTAATGAAGATGAATTGAATCCCCCCCCCCCCACACACACAGGAGCTAGAGAGATAGCTTAGTGGTTACGAACACACACCTCTTTTGAGGAGAACTGGAGTTCAGTTTGCAGCACCCAATGTCAGGCAGCTCATAACAGACATCTCCAGGTGGATCCAAATCCTGTGAGACCTCCCCGGGCATTTACATTCAGGTGCACAGCCCACACACAAACACACACACGCATATATATCTAATCTTACAATTTTCAGTTAAAATAATTGAAAACAAAAGAGATAAAATTCAGTTTGTGGGGTAGCTTCTAGTTGACTGGAAGCCTCCTTAGTCCAGCACAGGTAGCATGAGACATCCGACTGAAGGACACCCCCATCACCTGATTAGAGGGAACATCACTGACTCATCCAGGAAGGGAGAAACCAGTTCTCCCTCATCTTTGACTACCTCAGCTCTCAGAGCTCAGGCCTCTGTGAGAGAAAGAACAGTCTTCTGTCGAAACTTTGTTTTGGTGATGGTTATGTTGTTGTTGTTGTTGTTTTGAGACAGGGTCTCTCTACTCACTATGTAGACCAGGCTGACCTCAAACACACAGAGATTCCCTGCCCCCCCCCCCCAGGGGAAAGGAAACAGAAAAATCCACAGAGTTAGATGCTGGAGAAACGGCAGGAGACTGACAGCTACCTAAGGGTCTGATGGACACTTTTACGTAGTGCCTGAAACAACACACCCAGGGTGGATACAGAAACACAGCTCTCACCTCAAATGGGAACAACGGTTTATTCTAGAGCCAAATATGAGTAGTCATGGTCCAGAAATAGGTTTAGGTTACCCCAAATTCCATGTTCCAACATGGGAGGAGTTTCATGAATGTTTTTTATAGTAATAGAACAAAGAAAGCAATAGGCACTTTGAAAATACATAGATGGAAAGGTTAACTAGGTGGTACACAAAGCAGAGGAATCTCAGCTGTAGGCATAGACAGACCTTAGAGGATGCAATGACACCGAGCCCTTTGATTGGTGGAAAGCTAGGGCGTGGCTAAGTTAATAGATTCAAAAAGTTTTGTTTTGTTTTCATCATCTGTTAGGACTTTAGGTTCTGCTTTAACTGTTAGTTACAGGATGTTAAGTCCTACACAGTAGGGCGAGGGATGGCTGTTTAGTAGATCAAAATGGAGGAAGGGGAGAAAGAACTGACGGGATAGTAAAGGGAAGATCAAGAGGAGAGGCGGGTAGAAAAGTAGAGTGGTGAGTGGGGGCTGAGAGGAAGAACAGGATGTTTGAAAATGCCATATGGAGACCTACTATTGTGGTAAGTTTTTTGGTTTCTCTATATAGCTTTGGAGTCTGTCCTGGAACTCACTCTGTAGCCCAGGCTGGCCTCGAACTCACAGAGATACGTCTGGTTCTGTCTCCTAAGTGCTGGGATTAAAAGCGAGCGCCGCCGCCGCCGCCGCCTGCTTGTTTTTGGTTTTTTGAGACAGGGTTTCTCTGTGTAGTTCTGGCTGTCCTGGAACTCACTCAAAAACCTTGAACTCAGAGATCTGCCTACCTCTGCCTCCCGAGTGCTGGGATTAAGAGTGTACACCACCACTGCCTGGCTTTGTGTAAGCTTTCTAAAAACATATTTTAAAAAAATTAATTGGGGGGCTGGAGAGATGGCTTGGCAGTTAAGAGCACTAGCTGCTCTTCCAGAGGACCAGGGTTCACTTCCCATCATCCACATAGCAATGTCCAATCATCTGTAACTCCAGATACATGGGATCCAACACCATCTTCTGACCTCTGTGAGCACCGGGAACACACACAGTACACAGACAAAACACCCAAACCCATAAAAAAGTAAATCAAATTTTTTTAAAGTTTAATTGAAATTACTCCACCTGGGGGATAATGCTTCTCCCAGAAACCACAAACTATCAAAAAAGGCTCAATCCCAGGTGTGGGATATCTCCCTTCAAGTTGCTGGTCAGGGAAGTCTAAGAAACCCCAAAACAATACAGGCTATTGCCACTGCCTTTGCTTGCCCATCGGAACTTGGAAGTATCTCCCTATTGATGATGGTCCCAGGCAGCACTTGGAGAAATGGAGCTGGTATCGGACAGGACGTCTCCTCTCTGATGGTCAGCTTCCTCAAGGAAGAGTCTTACTCAGCTGTGAACCCGGTGAGCACACTGATGACTCACTCAGCAAGGTATGCTCATGGGTGCAGCAGTGGTACGGATGTCTGGGGCAACCAACAGCTCTCTGGTTAGATTTAAGGGCCACTCAACAGGAGAGAATTCGAGCCTGGGGTTAGAAACCTGCCAAGAACTTGTGGCTAGAGAGAGCATAAATCTTCAGGAAGAACCTACTACCGCAGGAGGCCCTGGGTTTAATGGTGGTGGTGGTGGGGTGTGGAGAATAAGTGTCTGGGCGTTGATGGAACTGGCAAGGTGATAGAAATTATCCTCCTACTGCCTGATCTCAGTTCTGCTTTTGACTGAGGGGGACCATCGAGCAGAAGTGACTTGGCCCAGATCTCCACAAATGTGGGCAGACCTTTCTCACCCACTGTGCCACAATGAGAGACCTCTGGGCCATTGTTCTCACCTCTTTCCAGGCTAGGGTGAGTTGGGGAGATAAAGAGCAGGACAATGGAGGCTGAGCAGAACCTCTGCTGTGTGGTAGGGAATGGATCCACCTCCCCTAACCCCAGAAACAGTGACTTCCCTCCTCCTAAGGACTCCTAAACGCCACTTACCTGGCTACCACTCACCACTATGGCTACGCTTCTGGGGACTGAGGTCCGTGCCTAGCACATCAGGAAACTGTTTTTTATCATCAAGCTACATCCACCACCATTTAAAAACTTGTTCGAGACATGGTCTTCCCAGTTTGTGTAGGTGATTGCTTCCAATTCATGAACTGCTGGGATCACAAACCTATGTTGCCACGACCAGCTTCACACTATTTTTAGTGAAGTTGAACACAAATCTCAATTCAGTGAGTTTTTATTATGCACCTGCACCAACTGTGGGAAGCCACGGAATTGGGGGAGCATGGAAGGCGGCTTCTCAGATGTAGGGTCTCCATCTGCAGCCTTCTATGGGCTACTATGAGAAGACCCGGAGGAGTAAGTGGCTCTTCTCAGCTAAGGCTACAGACACCAGCAGCCAGAGGAAGACAAAGACCAATCCGGTCCAGTAAGGACGGGATGTTTGGAGGAGGTCTGCCACTGTTCCTCACAGGTAACTCCTACTCACCACTGAGGGGAAACTGGGATTTGAACTGCATCCCCTGGCTTCTAAGACAGGTGAAAGTGACCTTCCAGTTGCGGTGATGCCCTGGAAGGCTCTGGACCAGCAATGAGGGCTCCCTGGCAGTATCTGCAGTATACTTGGGATATCTCCATTACTGCCCCCTGTATTTTTTAGCTGACTGTCATATACACAAGGGAACAGCACGTTTCCCCTTCAGGTAACTGTGAGCTTCAGGCAAGAGTGCAGGGGTAGACAGGGTGAATACAAAGACCCTGGCCTCCATGTGGAAGTCTCCCTTCCCTTGACCATAAGACCCAACTTCTCCCTTTCCCCGACACAAGGATAGAAGAGAACTATTTAGAAACTAGGACTTCTGACAGTTTATTTCTTGTTTAAGATGTGACCAAATGGTTTTATTGCATTTACTATTTCTGGGTGATGTACTGAGCAGAAAAAGAAAGCCTCATAATTCTTTGATTGGGTCTAGGTTAGAGGCTTTTTGATGTGAAAATCAGGAGAGAGCACCAGAGGCCTTGAATTCATTTTCCCAGGTTTCCTCACAGCTGAGAGCTGGTCCAGCCTTCAGAACCAGCCTGGCTGCAGCTCTCAAGTCCAGTCATAGTCACACTAAGGCCAGCACCCTCACAGCTGAACCTAGCCAGTAAGACCACATTTTTGATGCCTTGAGGTCTCCTGCCAGCGGCCAATCCCAGAATTGCCAGGCTCTGAACTTAAAGGCCATGGATGAAGATTCTTCCTTGTAGATACCAGCAGCTCTGAGAGCAGACAACTGGGATCAAACCCAGCATTCAAAGATGGCAAGCAAGCTACCTCAAGCTCCAACTGGTTCATCTGAGGCAGGAATAACAGCACCACGGAATTATCTGGAGTTTGCCTATGTCCACTCAAACCCCAGTGTTGAAGTCCTTACTCCTAGGACCTCAAGATGGGACTTTATTTGGAAATGGCTGCTCCAGATGTAGGTGGGGTTCTGCTGCGGCAGACAGGGTGAGCCCCAACCCCAAAACTGGGATCCTTGTACAAAAGGTAAGTTTGGAGACCCGACACATTGGAGATGAAGGCAAAATGGAGAGACGTTTGTACAAGCCCAGGGCTACAGACAAGTGTTAGTGACCATCAGACCCAGGGTGACTCTCTCCTTCTAGCCTCAGAAAGAACCAATCCAGCTGACACCAGACCTCAGCCTTGTGCTGTTAGAAGAGCCTATTTAGTACTAGTTAGAACCATGCTAGGAAACTAAACAAACTGCCTTGGAGTCAACATCCTTGAAGGACATGGCTTCACAGAAGCTTCTGTCCCAGGGTTTGGCTTGCCCAGCAGAGACTTCAGGGGCTGAACTCTCAATTCCAGACAGAAAGGGGAGGAATCTGAGTGGTGACAGGCAGTTTCCATCACACATTTATGATTTATGTTTTTGGGGGAAAACAGACCTGTTGGGATAGGTGCACACACTTTTAAAATGTGAGCTCCTGATCCCCATATGGTCAGTGACCTGGCTTAATCAGGCCTCATGACAATCCCCAATGGATCCTAAAGGCCCTCCTGGCCATCTGTGGATCTGTGGGATGCTCTCCTGTACACAATCATCTCAGGCTGACTTCTAAGGACAGCTCCCCACTATACACACCCCACCCCTAGAAGCCATTGGATTGGGGCAGCCCAGCCCCTTTGAGGGCTGGAGCAAACGGCTGGAGGTCTCTAAGATGCAGCTCTGGAGGCTGGAGTTGCCTCGCCTCCCTGGGTTTGGCACAGCAGAAAGACTGCTCAGGTGGCTACTTTATCTGGGGAGGAAGAGGCACGGCACCAGAAGTTGAACACTACCTGAGAGCAAAGGGCAGGTGGTTCGGGCTTTGTGCTCGGGCAGGGACTAGCTCACGGGGCCACACCCTGCTCAGTATGAGTTCAGAGCCTGCTTGGAGCGACGCTTCATGTGTATGCGCTCGTGGCGGAGAAGATCATAATTCTGCCGGAAAGTTTTGACACAGTACCGACACTGGAGGGGATGGCCCTCGCTCTTCAGGTGACAGTGGCTACGGTGTCTCACCAGATGGTCATGTCGCTGGAAGCTCTTTCCACAGTTCCCGCACCGGAAGCCCAGCTTGGCCTTGCTCTTCTCCATCAGGGCCTGGGCACCCGTACCCTCCGTTTCCGACGCGTCCTCCTCACTCTTCTTCACCGGCTGCTGCCTGTCTGGCTGCAAGTGGATGATGCGTCGGTGGGAGAGCAGGTGTGAGTTGAGGCGGAAGCTCTTCCCGCAGATAGTGCACCTGTAGGGCTTCTGGACCTCATGGGTCTCCAGGTGTCCGTCCAGGTCCTCGCTGTCACTGAATAACTCCCCACACACTGCGCACTTGTGTGGCTTCTGCTCCCTGCGGCTGCGCATGTGCCGGATGAAGTTGACCCTCCAGCGGAAGCTCTTCCCACAGCTCGGACACATGTAAGACTTTTGTGAGGTCTGCACCTCACCCCCAACCTCAGTGCTGCCCCGGTGGGTCGGGAGACTGTGGGGCTTTTCTGTAGGGCTCCTCAGCTCCTCTGTGCAATATGGGCTGTGTTGGGAGTCCTCATCCCCAGAACTGGACAGCACGATCTCAATGGTCACCTCCTGGTCCAGGCTGCTCTTTAGGGGCGGTGGGTCACCTCCTGTTACAGGAAACCAGTATGGTCAGTGGAACAGTCCAGACTACTTCCTGCCCCAGCCCTTGGGAACCCTACTCAGAAAGGCTTAAGCGGGGGTCCAGAGACTGGGGTTACAATGTTCCTCAGTAACTGCTGAGGGTCTGGCTACCATGCACGGGCTGCTGGTGCGGCAACTCTATCTTTCTTTCCGGCCTTCATGAGCCACTGGGACTTCAAATTCTAAGATCTGGCACTTATCTGTGTAAACCTTTGACACGCCATTTATATGACTGAACTAGGCACCGTGCCAAGGACCCTGGAGGTTCAGGGACCATGTTAGAGTCATGGTGTGCACAGCCCCCTCTGTTCCTAGACTCTAACAAGTGCTGTGGTACTTCTGTTGCACACTGTCCCAGCCTCGGGGACAAGCCTGAGGAAGCAGCGTGGTAGCAGGACTTGACCCTCATGTTGTTTTACTCTTTGCTCTTTTGGGGGGCCTGCCACCCAGTTTCCAAGTAAACCACACATAGAGGCTTATTCTTAATTATTTGCCAGGCCTCATCTTGGCTCGTTTCTAGCCAGTTTCTTAAATTATCTCGTCTATCTTTTGCCTCTGGGCTTTTTACCTTTCTCTATTTCTGTATATCTTACATTACTTTTTACTCCACGGCTTGCTGTGCAGCTGGGTGGCTGGCCCCTAGCATCCTCATCTCCTTGTTCTCTTGCTCTTTCTTCTTCCTCCCATTTTTCTCCTTCTATCTATTCTCTGCCTGCCAGCCCCGCCTAGCCTTTCTCCTGCCTCGCTATTGGATGTTCAACTCAACCACCAGGTGTTTTAGACAGGCACAGTAACACAGCTTCACAGTGTTAAACAAATGCAACATAAAAGAATGCAAGACATTTTTACACCATTAAACAAATGTTCCACAGCATAAACAAATGTAACACATCTTAAAATGATATTCTACAACACTCACTGTTTCCCAACCTAAGTCTGCCTGACGGAGCTAGCAGCTAGATGAGCTTCAACGCTCATCTCTCCTCTGGGTTTCCCAGCTGAGAGGTCTCATTCTAGCCAGGAGGCTTTTCTAAGCCCGTGCAGCCATATCTACATGACTGAAAGGACCACAGCTGCTCTGATGTCCAGGTTGCTGGTGGGACAACTCAAGCTGAGAAAGACTTTCTACACCTTAGACTGGACAGGTAGAAAGTGCTACTGAGCTGTTTTTTTTTTTTTTGGGGGGGGGGTCTGTTTTGTTTTGTTTTTTCCCCCAGAGCTGAGGACCAAACTCAGGGCCTTGCCTGTACTTACAAGTACTCTACCACTGAGCTAAATCCCCAGCCCCCTACTGAGCTCTTGTTAATGACAACTTTCTTCTATTAATCACCGCTGGCTTTCAGCTAACGCAGTGCTACAGTGGATGACAAAGGTCTCTCCTTATTCACTAGGAGATGAAATTATGACAGTAGGAAGCATAAGCCATGAACCGACTGTGCCTTCCAAATGTAGTGTTCAAATGCTGAAGTAACCTCCAGGATGGTAGAATGCCACTGTATTTGGAGACAGTTTCTCAACAGGCAAGTTGACATCTATGTAGAACCTAGTAGTTTAAAAAAGGCTGGAGAGGTGGCTTGCTGCTACTCCAGAGAACCTGATTTGGTTCCAAGCACCAAGGTCAGGTGGCTTACAATCCGGAACTCCAGCTCCAATGACTCTGATGCCCTCTTCTGGGCTCCACTAGTACCCACATGAATGTATACACACACACACACACACACACACACACACACACACACACACACACAAAGTAAAAATAAATCTTTTAAGAAAGAAAAATAAGCCAGCCTGATGGGACATCCTGTAATGCCAGCTGCAGCTGCACAGGAGGCTGAGGCAGGAGGATTGAAAGTTTAAGAATCACCAGGGTTACAGAATGAGTTCAAGGCTAACCTGGCTAACTCAGTATATGAACTTGCCTAGCACACACAAGGCTTCACCTTCAATACTCAATACCTCAAGCAGAAAGGGAGCTACTTGCAACAAGGAAGGGACCAGCAGGAGCTAGAGGGTGACAGGAAAAAATGTGAGCAAAACACATAGGAAACTCTACCCCACAGCTGGCTTTTAAATAGGAAAAGACAGAGGTAAGGCCTCAACACAACTGGTGTTTCCACCGAAAGGAATCCTGAGGCAGAGAGAAGGTCATGTGGGTCACAGTGAAGAGGTAGCAGGGAGGGGTGGGGTGGTGCAGAGCTGGGAGGAAGCCCACTCTAGTAAGACCTTGACCCTGCACTAGTGGCCTCGGGAACCGAGAGAGACTTTTATGTGGTTAAAGTATGGTCAGTGTGAGGCCAGAGAGATGGCTCTGTGGTTAAACACTGGCTGCTCTTCCAGAGGACCTGGGTTCAATTCCCAGCACCAACATGGCTGCTCACAACAATCTGTAACTCATTTCCAGAGGAACTGATGTTCTCTTCTGGCCTCTATCAGCACATCCACACACAGCAAAGGGGGGAAAAAGCTCCATCTGTGGTAAGCTACTTTGACAGTCTCAGTCTCACAGCTTTTGGTACCAAATGTATGGGGACAGTTGTGAGAAACATTTCAAAATGTGGAAGCTGCTTCAGAACTGGGAAATGGATAGACCGGGAGAGTGTTAAGGTGCATGTTATTGGCAGATGTGAAGAGGTGGCTGGTAGAAACAGGGATGTGTCTCAGATGAAGCCAGAACAAGGTACTGAAGTGTAAGGGAAAGGTGATTCTTGCAAAGTGGCAGAAGAACTTGGCTAAACTGTGTGCTAGGTGTTCTGTGACAAGCAGAGCTAAGTGATAACATGGATATTTAGCTCAAGGGATTTCTAAGGAAACTGTTGGAGACACTGCTTTCTTTCTTCCTGCTGCCTAGGCTACTCTCCCTAGGAGTGAATATATCTTTTGCTTAGACCATACTTATACAAAATTTTGCTTCCTACGATTCTGGACTCAGTTTCCACATAATAGTGTGGTTGGTCTGTGTGTGTGATATCTGTGTGCTGGTGTGATACATCTGTATTGTGGGCAGTCACCTCAATCAGTTGTCAGCATATTAAGAAAGGGTGTGCCTTGGAGCCCAAGAGACAAGCTGTGTGTTGGCTATGGAGAGCAGAGCTGGAGAGTAGAGCTGCCTAGGTCCCAACGATCCCAAGTCCTAGACATCTAACACTGAGTTTTACAGTGCTGGACTTTGGTTTTCATTTGAATGTGCCCTGGCTTTTCTGTCTTGCACTAAGAAAGGATGTAACTTATTTTTATTTTACGAGAGCCCACAGTTAAGAGACTTTGTAATTGTAGAGACTTTGAATCTTTTTTGGGAGGGGGGTATTTCAAGAAAGTTTCTCTGTGTAGCTCTGGCTGGAATTAAAGGAGTACACCACCACTGCCTGGTGAGACTTTGGACATTTTAAGACGACTGAACATTTTTGTTTGTTTTAGTTTTTGAGATAGGATCTCACTATATAGCCCTGGCTGTCCTGAAACTCACTCTGTAGACCAGGCTGGACTTGAACTCAGAGATCAGCCTGCCTCTGCCTCCCAAGTTCTGGGATTGTCCTGGCAAAAAGACTGAACTTTTAAAGTGTTTAAATTTTAAGACTGTAGAACTTTTAAAAGTTGGAATGTTTTGACCTGAACATAGTGGCTCATGCCTTTACCTAGCACTCAGGCAGAGGCAGGTGGGTCTCTGAGTTCAAGGCCTGCCTGGTCTACAGAAACAGTTCCAGGACAGCCAGGGCTGTTACACAGAGAAATCACATCTTGAAAATACAAGATCTTGGGGACAAACAAGAAAGGAAAGTTTATGACTTAATAGTGATGTGTTTTGTATATCAAGTTGACAAGGGTTGTTTGGTTAATTTTATGTCACTTTGACACAAGCTAGAGTCATGTGGGAGAGGGACTCTTAATTTAGAAAACACCTCCACAGACTGGCCTGTGGGAAAGGCTGTGGGGCGTCTTCTTGATTGATGGCTCATTTGGGAGGACTCAGCCCACCGTGGGGGGTATTAACGCTAGCATTCAGTTCTGAGTTGTATAAGAAAGCAGACTGGGCAGGTCATGGGAGCAAGCCAGTGGGCAGCACTCCTCTATAGCCTGTTTCAGTTTCTGCCTCCCGATTCCTGCCCCGACTTCCCTCAATGATAGAGTGTGACCTAAGAGCTGAAAGCTGCAATAAACCCTTTCCTCTCCAAGTTGTTGATGGTCATGGTGTTTTATTGTAGCAAGAGACTCTAAGACTAAGGCCTATTGTGTCATTAGCAAAAGAAAACAGGTTTTTGTTTTTGAGACAGAATTTCTCTGTATACCCTTAGCTGTTTTGGAACTTGCTCTGTAGACCAGGCTGGCCTTGTGAACTCGGAGATCTGCCTGCCTCTGCCTCCTGAGTGCTGGGATTAAAGGGCAGAAAACATTTTTAAGAGTTGAATACATATGAATGAAAAAAATGCAGAAAAGAAAAAGACAAGGGCTGGAGGGATGGCTCAGAGGTTAAGAGCACTGGCTGTTCTTCCAGAGGTCCTGAGTTCAATTCTCAGCACCCACATGGTGGTTCACAACCATCAATAATGAGATCTGGTGCCCTTTTCTGGCCCGCAGGCAGAACATTGTATACATAATAAATAAATAAATATTAAAAAAAAAAAAGAGAGAAAAAGAAAAAGACAGAAGTACTGGCAGAGCGAGGTCTCCTTCTGGCTACACGAGGGGAAGCCTAGCACTAATTTCTGAGTGCCCTGCATTGTTTGAGATGGACACACTAGCCCTCCCTTCAAAATCGTCACAAGTAAAAAAAAGGGACTCTAGACAACTGTAGGAAGCCACTGTGACATGGGGTGTTCAGCAGCGCCTGCATGTGCTGTCCAAGGACAGGATGCTGTAGTCTGCCTCTGCAGGGTTCCGTTTACTATGACAAGACTCTACTGAGAGGGCTGCAGTGGCTTCTGCATTCTAGAATCCGCTCTTTCCAACAAGATCATCTTGGAATTCTGGCCATCCACCATCCCATAAAAACACACTCACCACATAGAGAGCAGTGCTACATTAGCCCTCGACAACCCACCCAGGAAAGGCAGCCACTGTGGGATGGGGAAACAGCAGGACCAAACCAGAACGAGAGGCCGATAACCCCACAGCAGCAGTCAGCAGGAACAGCTTAACTCCTACTGTCCTAAGTCAACACACACATGCCCATCATCTCCTCTCCCCCACATTCATACCATGCACCACAGGGTCACACACCACACCCAGGCTCCTCACCTGGACTAGGACTTTGAGTGAGCGCCCCCTGCTGGCAGGACTGGAGCTCTGGCACCTGCAGTTCCTCCCATTTCCTTCCTTCTTCTTGGAACGGCTGGAGACTAGGAAGGTCTTTCCAAAGAAAATGGAGAAAGCATTTATCATATACTGGTATCACTACCCAGAAACAAGTAAGGAAGAGGCAGGCTATGATCTGCAGGTGCTGCTCCTTCCTGGGGCCTGGCATGAAGGGGTCATTCCGCTGGGTGAATGAACCCGAAGGCAAATTAGCAAACACCATGAACTTAGGTTCTGAAGCCAGACAGAATAATGTAGGTTCTAGTTCTGCCCATTTAGCTCTCTGGCCATAGACAAGAGCTTGATTGACCCTAAGGTCACTGCCCCCTTCCATGATAGGCCCTGTACAGACCTTTAGGCCACAGACCGCCACAAATAGACTGCGGTCATCCTATGAGGCAGAGATGGGAAGGCCCTGTGGGCATGGAGGTCCAGTGTTGCTGCTGATTCTATTAAAGGCTTCTTCCCTTCATAGCGCAGGACACACACACACACACACACACACACACACACACACACACACACACACAGGCAGGCACGCACACACTCTGGGCACACAGACATGTGGTGCAGATGAATCTTAGCCCATCTCTCCCATGGAATTCTCCCAGAATCTGTGTGTGGGAGCAGGGCACAGGCAAGCAGTGTCTAAAGAAGTTGTGCTTTGTGCCCAGTCCTCAGCCATGAGCATCTGACCACTTTTCTGGAGAGAGCCTTACTACAAACACAAGGCTACTATGGACAGCAGAAGACATTTCCCTTCTCGACTAGCCCTGGTTGAGGAACACACAGTCTCAATGGACAGCAAAATCCAGACTTCCCACTCTCTACAAGAAGTCAGAGGCACCAGGCAGTGGTGGCGCACGCCTGTAATCCCAGCACTCGGGCAGCAGAGGCAGAGGAACTCTGTGAGTTCAAGGCTAGCCTGGGCTACAGAGCGAGTTCCAGGAAAGGCGCAAAGTTACACAGAGAAACCCTGTCTCAAAAAACCAAAAGAAGTCAGAGGCAAGGCAAGAAACAGAATGCCGGGGGGGTGGGGG